CATTGTTATGTTAATTGACTGACATAACACAATCAGCAAGTAAATGAAATCATTTCAGATTAGTTGGGAATTAAATATATTCTAATTAGTCTAAATTTATTTGTATTAAGTATGTGAGAAAGGTATTGGACTTAGTCTGTTCCTTGAAAAAAAATACCCATTCTCACAAAACTCTTTTTGTTTTAATATTTATGTTAATGAAAAATATTGAACAGATTTGTTTCATGCTCACTTGAGGTGTTAATCATAATCATCCTACTTCAGAAGCATCAATACTAAAAATAAAATATATAAGAATCAATGGATTAATTCAGCTGTCTTACAACTAATCATCTACCCTGTGCTGAATGTGGTTCTGTCACCATTCATTAGCTGACCAAACTTTGTTAATTAAGTACAAGTTTGTAAACAGATTGCTTGCAGAATAGTTTAGGTAATTACTTATAATTGTGTGACTTTGTTATTGCCATGGCCATGTTGCGTCAGCGAGGTCACGTGACTAGTGTCACGCCACTCCTTCTCTCGAACCTTCGTGAATTATTGGGAGACTACTGGATATGTGTTAGTCTTGTATATATAAGACGTTGACAGCGTGACGGGACAACAGAGGTAATGAGTAATTGAAAGTATGCGGACAAGTATGAAGAGTTGCCTGAGAATGTGTCAGAGTTTGTGAAAGTGTTATCGGAAAGGATGGATGATATTCACCCTCAAGTGCGTTCAAGCTTGAAAACGTCTGCTAATTCGATGAACTTAACTTATGATAAGAGATCTACTGAACTCAGCTTTGTACCAGGAAACAAGGTATGGTTGTATAATCCCAGGAAGACCAAAGGGAAGTCTCCTAAGTTGTCTTCTCCATGGGAAGGCCCATATGACATAGTGGATCGTCTCTCAGACGTGACTTTCCGAGTAAAATGTGGTCGGCGAGGTAAGCCAAAAGTGGTGCATGCCAACAGGCTTTGGCGTTATTACGGTCCAGGATATTTCAGTTGGAACAAAGTGAACAACGAAACAAAT